CTCTGAGTGGGTTACCTTGATCTTATTGAGTAGCATAACATTGATATAGGGTGTGATATACTGGCTGAATCCAAGTCTTTCTGACTTATAAATTTAGGGTCAGTCACGGCTCTGGAGGAATAATGAAATTCATAAACATCACACTAAAATTTGCATGCACATATATGAGGTACATCTGTGGCAGAGTGGGCAGATACAGAAGAGTCTGACTTCTCAGTCCTGGGAGAATTGGAGCCACCCCCCTCTAGAAGGCATACTAGGAGAAAATGTCTTGATTTAGAAATTTCATAGTAGGCACCGAACTTGGAAAGATCCTCCTAATCTCTCTCCCATGTTTGAGAAATGGAGGAAGCCTTCGTCTGATTGTGGTGAGCATCGATGGATTTTGTAAGCGCCCCTTCACAGCTCCTGCCGTGTAACAGCACCACATCTGCACGGGACCTCCCCCTTCATAGCTCCTGCCGTGTAACAGCACCACATCTGCACGGGACCTTCCCTTTCTTGTCCACATCTACAAGAAGCAAGCCGTAGGATTTCAGAGCTACGAGACAGCCCTCCACCTTTCAGGACTTTCTTTGCTGGTGTTTAACGTCTAATTGTGAGCTGATTGAAAAGTACTCATCGAATGGCCTCATGGGACAATCAGAAATGAGGATGGGCAGCTGGCCCCAGTAACACCCTAGATAAACACCCCCCTCACCCAAACCCAGTCCTCACCCATTGAAGCTGAGGACTGAAACCGACCCATGCAAGAAAATATAGCTCCAAGTTATTTTATTTTTCTTTTTGCACAAAGCTCATGCAAAGCCTGCTGGGAAATGGCTCACAGAGGTGGTTCTCACACACTGTGGACACACTATCCTAACAAAAACATCGAAGGAAGGAAATATGATGGAGACTGCTATCAGGAAAGAACTAACACTGACCTATGACCCCCCAGAAAACCTGCAGTGAGCACACTACCCCGAATCAAGCTGTGGGCTTGGAGCATGTACACACTGTCCCCCCAAACTCCTCACAGTATGTTTCACCCTTCTGTCTATAGCTGAAAACCAGAACCCACAAAAGTGTTAGTTGTGCATTGGCGGGGAAGGTCTCCCAATGCGACAAAACCCACAAACCAAGGCTTCTGTCCTCGCTCACCCTCTTTTGTCTTGATTAGCTAGTTACTAGCCACAGGACAGCTCTGTGTAACAAACAAGGTGCCAACATCAGTGGAGATATTAAGTATGCATGGGCTTTGCTGCCGCAGGTCCATTTGTATGACTCCATCTTGCAAAAATACTCACTCGAAACAAATTAAAATGAATGAATATACAAGGCTGTTTGTCGTAGGCATTTTAAATAGCGATAGCAAATAAAAAATAAAAGATGAAAGGATAAAAGGTGAAGCCCCCCGAATCTCCCTTTACAAACATGTCTGTTAAGTAAATGAAAACGCACAGCTATTGAGAGGCCAGACACACGTGTTTGTGTCTCTCTGCCACTCCTACGCATCTTTGCCGTACGGTTTACCGAGCGACGGAAAGTGGATGGTAGACTATATGTGCAAATTATTGAACATCTGCTCATGTGGATGTGTGCTTATCATTTATAGTTATGTAAATGATAGAAAAAGAGACACGCATGTTTACCTTCTGAGAGGGTCTTAACAGTAGCCCAGGCTGGCTTCAGATTTGAGGGCTTCCTGTCTCAGCCTCCCGGATGCCAGAACTGTGGGTGTTTCTTCAAAAAGACTCTTTCCATTCTGTAGAGAAACAAATACCCTGTCTTATGCGCATTCATCCCGTTAGATGTTATAGCAGAGGATGCTTTGCAATAGACTCGACAAGTGCTGTGCACAAGTACCCGGTGTGTCTCGGGAATACTCAGTACTTCAGTGCTGTGCACAAGTACCCGGTGTGTCTCGGGAATACTCAGCACTTCATTGTTGAGGTTGGCAGGGCTGCACGACTGGGTGGGAGAGCCCTTGAGTATCTGCTGTGTTCTGAGGAAAGAATATTGAGATTAAATTAGCCAGGTTAAATAAATAATTAAATAACGTCTTATGATATTTGGTTAAATACACAATCCAATAAAGCCCTTAGGAGGCAGTGTACCCACAAACAGCAGTAATATATTTTCCACTCAGTGGGAATAATTGGCAGTTAAAAAGTATAATTAGCACGTGACATCAGACATTGGGCCAGCACACTAAATTTCTAATATCAGTTCCATCCCAGGTGCAGTACGGACACCAAAGAGACCATTTTCTGATTATAAAGTATGTTTACACACTTGGTGTGCACAGATATGTATGTGCCTGGCAGTTTACAGCCACTCTCAATGATTTGTAAGTTTAAAAAAGGTGTTTTTTACATCCTGGTATTGGCATAAATACAGACAGGAGGACCAGTGGAACCCAGTCGAAGACCCAGATATCAATCCACACACCTACGAGCACCTGATTTTTGACAAAGAAGCAAAAAACATAAAATGGAAAAAAAGGAAGCATATTCAACAAATGGTGCTGGCATAACTGGATATCAACATGCAAATAAATCCGTATCTATCACTATGCACAAAACTCAAGCCCAAATGGATCAAAGACCTCAACATAAAACCAACTACATGGAACCTCATAGACAAGAAAGTGGGAAGTACACTTGAATGCATTGGCACAGGAGACCACTTCCTAAATATAACCCCAGCAGCACAGGCACTGAGAAAAACAATTAATAAATGGGACCTCCTGAACCTGAGAATCTTCTGTAAAGCAAAGGACACGGTGAACAAGACAAAACGGCAGCCTGCAGAATTGGAACAGATCTTCAGCAACCCCACATTGGACAGAGGGCTGTTCTCCAAAATATACCAAGAACTCAAGAAATTGGTCATCAAAAGAACAAATAATTCAATAAAAAATGGGGTACCAACCTAAATAGAGAACTCTCAACAGAGGAATCTAAAATGGCTGAAAGACACTTAAGGAAATGCTCAACATCCTTAGTCATCAGAGAAATGCAAATCAAAACAACTCTGAGATTCCATCTTACACCTGTAAGAATGGCCAATATAAAAACAAGCAAGCAAGCAAACAAACAAAACAAAACTGATGACTTCTGCTGGAGAAGTTGTGGGGAAAGAGAACACTCCTGCATTGCTGGTGGGAGTGAAGACTGGTACAGCCGCTTTGGAAATCATATGGCGATTTCTCAGAAAATTAGGAACAACCTTCCTCAAGACCCAGCAAAAACACTTTTTAGTATATATCCAAAGGATGCTCAATTGTGCCACAAGGACATGTGTTCAACTATGTTCATTGCAACATTGTTTGCCGTAGCCAGAACCTGGAAACAACCTAAATGCCCCTCAACCAAATAATGGATAAGGAAAATGTGGTGTATTTACACAATGGATTACTACACAGCAGAAAAAAATAATGACATTTTGAAATTTGCAGGCAAATGGATGGATCTAGAAAATATCATATTAAGCGAGGTAATCCAGACCCAGAAAGACAAATATCATATGTACTCACTCATAAGTGGCTTTTAGACATAAAGCAAAGAAAAACCAGCCTACAATTCACAATCCCCGAGGACCTAGACAACAAAGAGGATCCTAAAAGAGATATACATGGATCTAATCTACATGGGAAGTAGAAAAAGACAGGATCTCCTGAGTAAATTGGGAGCATGAGTACCTTGGGAGAGGGTTAAAGGGAAGGGGAGAGGAAGGAGGATATGGGAGAAAAGTATATAGCTCAATAAAAAAAGTATATACAATTATAATATATATAATATATTTTATTATCACTATTATATATAATTATATATGATATATGTGCATTTTAAAGAGACACCGTTGCTTCTTATGGAGATTACAATTGGACAGTAAGAGCTGTCAATAAGGCAAGTAAATGGCAGCCTTTCTTAAACATTAAGTTTGCACAAGCAAACCAACGTGGAGCTAAAGAAGCAGCCTTTCCAACAACAAACAAATGCTAGGAAAAGAAGTAACTAAAATAAACTGTGTGTGTGTTTGTTTGTGTGAGTATATTTGTGTGTGTGTGAAGCAACCTCTAGTTTCTCTCCCCCCAAACACACACACATGAAAATGTCGCAATGAAACCCATTTCTTTGTGTTCTATACAAAACTGAAATGAGAGCAGAGCTGACTTTGAAAATGAACGGTGGAAAATTCTGGAATGTGTGGTCACTACGTTCAGCTCCGGAAGATAAAGGGTGTGTAGTCCCTAGCCATCAGTGGCTGTTTGTGACGGCGAAGGCATAGCGTTTCCCTTTCAGTTCCTATAGTTTCTTTTTGAATCATCTGTATGTTTAGAAGGCGAGGCCAGCAACCCTGCAATGTTCAGAAAACATTGTTCCAAACGACATTGTTCCTTTATACCGAGGCTATCCTGTAGGTGCCTCCTCCAACAGCTGAGACGCGGCCAAGGACAAAATGAGGAGACAAAACAGATTTTCAAGAGTTTGAAAGACTTGATTACATGATAAATATATGTTTTATACAGTGACTCAACAAAGTACATTTTTAAAATTAATGTTACTTCTTTGTTGCTTTAAGAAACTGTGGCTGCTGGAAATTTTCAAATAAAACCTGTGACTCACGATTCAAGGGAGCTGGGCTGTGGTCGGTCAGCAGACCGGCCTCATTCCTCCCTGATTCTGTGACGTTAGCAAATGCCTCTGCGACAGTCTTGTCCTTTGGATCCTGCATGGGGGCTTCAGCGTCATATTTCAGACACTCTTTATTAAATTAAGCGTCCTGTAGCGAGTACCAGGTAACTACTGTCGTCATTGGCTGCACCACCGCAACCACAGGCAGACCCTGCCCCCTAGCGGCGGGAGGAGGAAGGGCTCTGCACCCCCTCTCGGTCCATCCCACCCTTAGGGAACCAGGGTCCCCAGCACCCAGCAGCTTCAAGTGGTGCCCGCCTTCTGAGGCGCCTGTGGGGCAAAGGGAGCGAAGTGCAGACTACCAAAGGGATGAGCGGATGAGCAGATGGCACCCGGGTTAGATAAGGAAGCTGGCGTGGCTCGACTGCGTACTGGCGCCGCTTTCCAGCGTGACCTTTCCGTGCCACCAGAAGTTGGGGTTTCCCAGGAGACGAGGTGGGGACGGAGCTGGGTGGAAAGCCCCGCCACTTCATCTTGCTGGGTTGTGGGTAATTTACCAGGGCCCCCGATCAAGCCTTATACCCAGCTGAGCCATGATTTAGTAGGGAATTTACATCCCTAGCCCACTGGATCTTACTCTTTTCAAAGCTGTTACAAGGTTAAGGGGTTTGAGAAGCTGCACGCGGTGGCGGGGGGGGGGGGCAGCAGATATGATGAGGCCAGTATGGGGGGGGGTACTTAGCTCAACGTCGATGCTTACTCTGCGACCTTCAAAGCGACAGATGAGATCAGGTCCTGGCACCCTAGGACGTGGCATCTCCCACATTGCATCGCTGGGTTAAAAACGAAGCTATTTAGATGTTTGTTGAAAGCCAAACAGCTCCAATAGCTAGCTGCAGAAGCCTCAAGGCACGGAACCCCTGCCTTAGTCTCTCACCCTTTAGTGCTTCAGCTGCTGATCTTAACGTCTCTTCAGTAGATGCCCCTCCTGGACTGCAGGTTCCTAAAGAGTCATCGTGAGCAACGCCTTGCACACCTGGTACTGGCTGCTATCACCATGGGATTCGTTTGGCAAGAAGGAGAGACCCAGCCCCCAAAGGTGAGGGGTAAGAAGAGGCCTATTAGGTGATCCTGGGGTCCCTGCACCAAGTATCAAGCCACCAGTCCGAGGTTCCACTGCATAGTCTCCAGAAAATCAGAAGAAGGCAAGAAAAGGGTTAGGACTTTCTCCCTCCTGCTATAGAGCTGATTTTCTTTTAGACTAATGGCCAGTTAAAAAGGCTCTTGACACCCCCATTCCAAAAATGTGGGACAAGCTTCCTTAGATCCCAGGAACTCATAAAACACCTTGAATCATTTTTTTTTTATTTTCAAATACATCGGTTATTATGATTTTCATAATCACCCTGTTGTCCAGTCATCCAGGGAGCTGTCCCAAGTTCAAGGTCAATTCCTTTGCCCAGAGCAGCTGGAGGACAGTGGGAAGGCCAGAGTAACTGATTCCGCTGAAACAGATGGCTTTCCCCCAGTACACATAGGGATGTGGTCACTCCCTTATTTCCTCAATACCACTTTCTGCCCAGCCTGCTGTTCATTTATCAGTCCTTTATCTAGCTCTGTGTGACTTTCTAGTTTCAGTCTGTCTGTTAGGGCATCAAACCCCAGTTCTCTATCTACCTTTCATTCTCTCTCTCTCTCTCTCTCTCTCTCTATCTCTCTCTCTGTCTCTCTCTTTCCTTCCTTTCTTTCCTTCCTTCCTTCCTTTCTAAAAGTCTATTAATTTTATTTAATCATTTTTTTGAGTCAGGGTCTTACAAAGTAGTCCAAAATAGACTAGGACTTTCTAAGTTGTTCTCAAATTCATGATCCTCTCGCCTCACCACCAAGTGTTGGGCTTACAGGCACGCGCCACCCTGTCCAGTATTGAGCCCCTCCTTTGTATTGTTTGTTCTGGCTGACAGTGCTGGGATAGAATCCAGGGCCTCTGCGTGCTGAGTTAATACTTCACCATTCAACAGGAGCACCAGATATTTCCTCTTTCCCTTTCCTCAGTTTCTCTTTCCCAGAAATCAAGGTGTTACTGTTATTCCAGGACAGCCCCGTTGTGTGAGAACCCTGAGCAATGCTTTGCCAGGCTCATCACGTCTCTCGTCCCACAAGGAAACTCCGGAGACTGGGAGGAAAGGACAGCTCCTCTCGATTCCAACACGGCAGAATATTGCCTCTCATCTCCAGAGCTCTAGTGTCTAATGTCCAGTGTTGAAGACTTGAAAACTTAGGCTAGTGACATAGTAATGAGTTCCTTTGCCATATGCTCCCTAAACTGTTCTCCTGAATCAGGAGGGGGGCTCGAGAAGGGGTGAGGGAAGCAACGTCCAGCCCCCAAGGCCACCCCAGTCTCATGACCCTTACCTATATTTTGTAAGTCTTCCCTGATCCCCCAACTGAGGGACCACTTCACTTCTTCCCATCCTCCCCAGCCCTTACATCCTGCAGAAGCTTGCCACGGAGTTCCACGCTCTGCAAACTCTGCAATGGTTCCCTTCCTACAACACACCTCTCTCCCAGCTCTGAGGAAGGAAGAACGGCAGACGCAGGGCTGTAAATTGTCCTTGGTCCCAGGCTGGGGAGCCGCTGAGTGGGTAAATGACTTCCAAGCAGGCCTGACACTGGCGCTTGGGTCCCCAGATCCTACGTGAAAACTGGCATGGCAATAGTAAACAAGAGACCACTGGGTCTCACACCAGGTGGAAGGTGAGGGTCGGCACTTGAAGTTGTCCACTGACTTCTGCATGTTCAACTTGGCATGAATGTGCCTACATTCACCCATCTCTGTTTCTCTGTCCATGTCTGTCTGTCTGTCTCTGTCTCTCTGTCTCTTATTCTGTATCAGTTTCTCTCTCACACCCTACATCTACATTTCTATTTCCATTTCTGTATCGTAGGCATCAATGCCTGTATCTGTATATCTGCATATCTACCTCCTATCTATCTATCTATCTATCTATCTATCTATCTATCTATCTATCTATCATCTATCTATCTATCATCTATCTATCTATCTATCTATCTATCTATCATCTATCTATCATCTATCTATCTATCTATCTATCTATCTATCTATCTATCTATCATTTATCTATCTATCATCTATCTATCTATCTATCTATCTATCATCTATCTATTTATCTATCTATCTATCTATCTATCTATCTATCTATCATCTATCTATCTATCATCTATCTATCTATCCATCTATCATCTATCTATCTATCTATCCATCTATCATCTATCTATCTATCTATCTATCTATCTATCTATCAGGGCCAAGCAGTTTCTTTATTGCTTAACCAATGAAATCAACAGATTGATATATGACACTCCCACATCACTTCCCCTTTTTCTGTTTAAACAAAAAAAAAAGGAAGGCTTTAACTTTAACATAGCAAAATTACATATAACAAAACAGGTATCAAGTAAAAGTTACAATATTTACATCTATTTTGTCTTTTTTCATAACTAAGGAAAACTATAACTATCTATATATTCTTTAACTCCATCAAAGACTCCAGAAGGATGTAATATTACCTAAGCAAACAAGAAATAAGCAACTTTTAAAACTCTAGAAATGATAGAGACATTTTGCTGCCTGGACAGTCACCCAAAGTTCCTCTGTACCATTGGGGCATCCATCTTCGGCCTACAGGTTCATGGTATCCAGAGACATTTCCATGAAGCAGGACATTTCAAAGTCAGTTCAGTCACTATCTGTTGTGTCCTGCAGAATGTCTCGCAGACTCTTTCATGAATCAGGAACCCCAAAAGATCATCTCACCTTTAGGCAAGTTCAGTAGTCCTCTCTCTGTGGATTCTCTGTGTCCAGTTTATGCAATAGTCCAGGCAAGAGCAGTTTCTTGCCCAAATGGCTATCAAACTCCATAAGGATCCTCTTCGATGCTCATCTTCTTCTTGAAGTAGATTGGTGCTTCCAGGAGCAGACATGTCTCGTTGTCATGAAAAATCCTAAGTTATTAAAACATTAAATGCCATATTCTGCAGTCTTTGAAAGATATGAAGAATGTCTATCTAACTGAAATGTATCTCTATATATCTAGAAAATCTAACTAACATGACTACAAGCTTGACTATTACTGATGATTATCCATTAACCTGTATTTCTTAATTATACATTACATTTTTTAATGAACTACACAATCATAATATCTTAATCAATAGCAGAAATATGCATATACATATAACAAAATTGACCTTAAATCTCTATCAATAAAGCAAAATCTATACTAATACAAATTATTCATATCTATATCATATCCCCCTTTAAATGTAAAAGAACGTTTATAAACCATATTTGGGAACATGGGCACAGTTTTTTCTCTCCAAACTGCTTCCTGCTGAATGGGGGGGCGTCGTTAATTAGGTCTTTCATGGTATAACCTGTGTGCTAGTTTCATCTCAGTTGGCAGTTGAGTGAAGCAATTTTCTGAAGATGTTTACAGCAACCCTTCAGGAGGGCGTGGTCCATCATACCATATCGGAATAGAAGAAATGAACAGGGTCTCATCCTCTGTGAAAACAAAATAAGAAACTCCTTTCCAAGGCATCATGTCCTTAGATCCAAATTTCAAAGTCAAGGCATTTTCAAAATATCTATGTTGCATTAGTTCAGCAGCATTTAAAAACAAATATCTTTTAGCAGCTGTTGCTCCTTCCTCAGCATTCAAACAATTCAAAGATAGCATAATAGCATACAGTATCAAAATTCTCTGTTTATTTTTCATCTTTGTGCGCTTTATTTTAACCTCTATTTTGTTTATTTTTACTTTTATTTTTTGCTTTTTGAGACAGGTTCTCTGTATCTTTGACCTGGAATAACTCTGTAGACCAGACTGTCCTTGAACTCTCAGAGATCTACCTGTCTCTGCCCCCCAGGCATTGGGATTAAAGGTGTACACTACTACACCTTGAACTCACAGCGATCTGTTTGTCTCTGCCTTCTAGGCACTGGGATTAAAGGTGTGTGCTACCACACCTTGAAGTGACAGAGGTCAATCTCCCTCTGCCTCCCAAGTGTTGGGATTAAAGCTGTGTACTACCACACCCAACAACTCTCTTCCTTTTTTTTTTACTTTAAGAACTTCAACTTTTAGCCTGCACATATTTTTTAACACACTGTAAATCATTTAAAAAATTTCTTTGTCTTTGAATCTCTCTTTACTCTATATCTCTCTTTTTCTGACCACATCTATCATCTATCTATCTATCTATCTATCTATCTATCTATCTATCATCTATCATCTATCTATCTATCAATCATCTATCTATCTATCATCTATCTATCCATCTATCAATCTATCTATCTATCTACCTATCATCTATCTATCTATCAATCATCTATCTATCATCTAGCTATCCATCTATCATCTATCTATCTATCTATCTATCTATCTATCATCTATCTATCTATCAATCATCTATCTATCTATCATCTATCTATCCATCTATCATCTATTTATCTATCTATCTATCATCTATCTATCTATCTATCTATCATTTATTTATCTATCAATCATCTATCTATCACCTATCTATCTATCTATCTATCTATCTATCTATCTATCTATCATCTCTCTATCACCTATCTATCTATCTATCACATATCTATTTATCTATCATATATATTATAATCTATCATCTATGTAAAGATCAATTTACATTGCTAGTTCTTAGGTCTCTAACTAAACGTTTTGGTGATGCTTTACTTTATATAGTCTTCAGAGGTTCTGTGCGTTGTGTGTACATATGCTCCAATTCTGAATTTTGCATCTCTTGCCGTGTGTTCTCATAGACAGTATTCCCACTAGGTCTCTCCCAGGAAGTCTATAGGGTACAGATGTGGACTACTCAGGGAACTCATTGGTCCCCAGGTCGCTTATCACAGGCAACCGTGGTGACTTCCTCTGCCAATAGAATACACAGATTGTCTGCATTCCTGTCCTGAAGGTGCTGCCGAGAACTCTTGCCATTCCTTTTGTTGAAGTCTCCAGGAAGTTGGGGCTCCCTCCCATCCTGGTCCACTCTGACCTGGTGCTGACAAACTGGACCAAAAGGAACCCAGAAGGGTAAGGAGGGAAAGGTTCTTCAGACACCAACAGACTGAGATTCAGGATTGGGAAGACCCGGAACTTCAGCAGTCCTCAGATAAAACGGCTCACGGACTTAGGGCTACTTTATAGTGAGCTGTGTGTTCACACTCATCCTTTGCTCTATGGCTCCATGAAAGAGTGGATACACACGTTTAAGCTGCAGATGTTTCTTCTTTGCGGGCTCTAAACACATTGGCCTCAGATGCTTTTTCCTGTGGTTTCCACTTCACACCTGGATTTCTGAATTTCAGCCTCTTGTGTAAACACAATGTGCTGGGCTTTTTGTTGGTGTTGTTTTCCTTCCTTCCTTCCTTCCTCCCTCCCTTCCTTCCTTCCTTCCTTCCTTCCTTCCTCTCTCTCCCTCTCTCCCCCCTCTCCCTGTCTCCCTCTCTCCCTCTCTCCCTCCCTCTCTCTCTCCCCCCTCTCCCTGTCTCCCTCTCCCTCTCTCCCTCCCTCTCTCTCTCCCTTTCCCTCTCTCCCTCCCCCCCTCTCTCTCTCTTTCTCTCTCTCCCTCTCTCTCCCTCACTCCCTCTCTCCCTCTCTCCCTCCCCCTCCCTCTTCCTTCCTTTCTTTCTTTTCTCAGCACACGGTGTATCCGTCCTCTGTCCTCCATTCAAGTCAGGTCAGGATTGGGTGTCCAGGAGTGATCAATTTGGTTATGAACGAATGATTCTAGGTGTGTGGGAATCTGATGGATGCCATTGATTCCACCTAGTTTGCTCCACTTCACAGCTGAGTTGGGCCTAGAAGCGTTTGTCTTCTAACTTTTAAACAAGCAGTAAATTTGTGGAAACTTTATTTTCATAGTAAAATTTATTTCAGCTTGTAAACGCAAGGCAGCGTTTACTTTTGTGATAAATTAAAACCGCAAAGGAGAAGTTGAGCTAGAGAGAGAAAGATCTTCCTTGGCATGATGGTTATAGGTAGCCATGACTTGATCTTTGACCAATTCTACAGTAATAAAAAACTGGTCTGCATTGAAAGCTATCAAACCTAGCCTAGGATTAGTCAATTGAAATGAGTGAGATAATAAATATTATGGACATGGATTATTGTGGTGACTGCATTGTGTTGACTAAGCTGAGTTTATGATTCAAGGGAAAAGGAAAAAGAAAGTTTAAAGGGGGATGTTAGTTTTGGGCTGAGAAGTTAGTGTCCCAGCAAGTTAGGTGCAGGACCGGGGCTCCCCAGTCGTCCTTTTAAGTGAACGCATTCCTTACATCTTCTAAGATGTCTACACAGAGCTTAGGGCTTTGCAGAAATGAAAGAAAGGGAAGCGAAACACTCCCAAAGCAATTCAATATTGGGCCAAAGCGGCTCATGACGGATGTCCAAGAGCAACACAAACAGGATCTCTGGAATTCCAGGAAAGCAGCTAGGCCAGGGGGGGCAGAAACTGATCTAACAGGTGGGTAGGATCGGAGTAACTAACATGGGGCTGTGGCGAGGGCCAGCTCAAGAGTGGCAATAATGAGCGCGCGCCTGCGCAGACACAGGGCACTGGCACCAAGAGCTGAGGTCCTGTTCGCGCTGTCACTCAGTGGCTCTTTGTCCAATCACAACCCGTGGTGTCCTAGGTGTGCCCGATGAGTACGTATGCGTGGGCATTGCCGATGAGGGTGTGAGCCTGGGTACCGGGGACTCCAAGAATTATTTCTGGTCACCAACCGAGTTGTTCTTTTCTTGTTCTCTTTGTCATGGCTGATAACCGGAATGTGACCAGACCATGGGAAATCAGGTAAGATGTCCCTTTAGAACCACTGCTGCCTTTCAAGGCTTTTGAGGAACCAACAGGGGAGGCGTGACAAGCTCTGTGGAAAGCACAGCATCATGAAAGAACTCATGAAAAGGCAAAGAAATATGCTAAAAACTCAGTAGTCCGAGCATTAGCTCTGAGGGAGGCTACCTTGTAGAGGTAAGGGGATTAAATTTTCATAACCATATGTCTACAATAAAAAGTGCAGTGTAAGAAAACAGCAAATTATGACTTTGTGGCGGAGCCTAACGGTCTCACAGGGCTTTCTCATCTGTGTACCATGTCTGTGAAAGGCCAGATGCAAGCAGACAACAGTGATAGGAAAGTCCCGTTGAAAGCCCTTGCCATCCGGTGGACTGGAGCCCTTGAGGGCAGGTCTGGTCTGCAGTCAGAGGCTCCACCTTCCGTGGGCAGCAAAGCTGGCAGGGACGCCGCTCTTGCACTGCGTGTGCATCCCCCTCATCTCTGTGAAGGGTACAAGTGGGAGGTGAAGACATCGTTCCTCAAGCTGACACACCTCTGCTGAACTAATGACAATGCGTGACCCCCATCTGCTTTGCTGTTTTGGGGTTCGAGTCTCGGCTTTGCTCATATTTGCTGGAGATGAAGCAGCTGCCCGGAGCGACTTCTTTGGGTTTTGTAGATCGGGTTAGATATGAATCCGATGGTCAGATGTCAGGCTGAGTAGAGGCGGCCCCTCTTGAGAGTCTTCCAGCCCCATTCTGTGGCAGCATCTCCTGCTTGGTTAGAACTCGAGCCAGGCTCAGAGGCACACAGCCATAGTCTTCACATCTGCCAGGCAGGGGCAGGAGGATTGTGAGGTGGAGGACAATATGAAATATGGTAAGACCCCGCCTCACCAAAAGGGGGAGCAGACCAGGTTAAGTTCTTAAACTATTATGAATCTGGCCACGAATAATCATTTATATGCCTCTAGATAAGATAAGCTGCCTTACTTCCCTGAACTACAGTTGGTTTTAGTACCTTTAGCTCCAAGACCCCTTAGCCTTAAGACAAGAATCCTGAAGGACCAGAAACCTCTTCCTAAAAACTGCCCAACATGGTTGGTTCCCATGACTCTTCCACTGGGGCAAAGGTCAAGGATCATCAAGGCCATGGTAAACACCCAGAGACTTCAGGTCAGGGGAGCTTGGCTCTAACTGACATGGTCTCCTTCCTTCCTGGTGGCCTCTTTCTTCCAGTAACCTGGAAACCATCGTCTCTTTTCCCGGGGGAGAGAGCCTGCAGGCCTTCGTACTGGTGACCGTTTTGGTGGAGAAGGCAGCTGCGCCTGGCATTAAGGTATCTTCTCGCTCCACAGTCTCTCACCTTCAGCCAAGCACTGTCCTCTCCCCGCAGTGGTTTCCTCCACAAGGACAGACACAGGCCTTCTCCTACTTGGTCAAACACAAAGGAAGGGATCTGAGTTCTAGTCTGTGGTGTCAGCGTCCCTGTAGCACGAAGCAAACCAGTCCTCTGTCTACACACAGGCAGGGTGTGCGGACACCCGCTGAGCTGGCTGTCACAGTTCATGGTCCCGCAGCAGCTGGAGTCACAGAGGTTAGAAAGAAAAAGGTTGTTCTGTGAGGAGAAGGTGAAAGTAATGCATGCTTGAAGGGTCAGGCAAACTTCCCCACAGAAATGGCAGCTGAGGTAAGATGTGAGCGCGCGTGCGTGCGTGCGTGCGTGCGTGTGTGTGAATTTCTTACAGGAGAGTAACTCTGTAAATGTGCAGAAGAAATAACCTCTTCCAGAGCGCAGGCATCTTTGCAGTCACCCAGGTGATTCAGCCCTGGGGGCTGCAAAATTTATTTTTTGCCTCTTTCAGGTGCCCTTGGGTTCTAGCAAGGAACTTTCCCCGCTAGACGGGAACTTTCATATCTCCCCTTTATCTCTAGATTAGGGTGGTTTATGGTTTTATTGGATGCCTGCTGTTCAATAGAGTGTTTAGTCAGGGCATAATTACTGCAGAATCTTTCACTCTCAAAAGTGAAAGTCTGGGCCAGGGGTGTAACTCCATGGTCAAGCAGGAACTTAGTCCCAGGTTCCAGCCACATGCCCACACGGTAGTGAAATCCTGTGGCCACTTCCGTCCTCATCCATTTGTCTCGCCCACGGGTCCCCTGGAAGATTCAGCAGGTGATGCTAGTCCATCGGTTTAGCTGAGGTCAGTCTAAGACAAGGAGGGCATCTGGGCCGAGGGAGCTGTGAAGCTGGGAAGTCTTCAGAAACCTGTTCGATGCCACAAATATCTGCGGGGAGGATGTCCCGGCTATGGGAAATCCAAAGCGAGTGAGGAAATACTAGCATTGAGGGCCCTGATGTCAAGACTTACGCTCCAGAGGTGTGCCAGAAGTGCGGGCCGTTGCCCTGGGATCTGCCTACTCCTTGGACTTTAAGGGAAAGTCGTGAACTGAGAAAATGGATCTCATTCCTAGGCCCTGATTCGGGGAGTGGAGGCCCTTCTGCACCACAACCGGGACACCCTGCTCCAGGCCCTGCAGCAGCTGAGACTCTCCATCCAGGAAATGACCAAAGCCTTGGCCCAAATGTACGGTAAGAAGCATGGGTGGAGCCTCCTGCGGCCTGGACCTGGGCTGGGCCCTAAGTGATGATGGTACAGCTCTCCACAAGATGGCGCTAGTCAACCAGAGAATGATTTTTCAGGCTGTAGAAACATTTTTGTAGAATTGTTCTGTGTATTTTCCTGTGAGTGGGGTTGTTTGCCTTCTTCAGGGTTCAGATACGTCTTTGGGACGCTGAGCTTATGCGGAATCATGGGTGATTGGATGGGGTTACAAGGAGAATATTGGTTGGTTGTGCTTCAGTCTCTCTGGTTAGGATGCAGGGCGCAGGGCACAGGGCACAGGGCGCAGGGCACAGGGCTGTCCAGTGGAGGTGTCCACAAATCCTCCAGATTCATTTGCTTTTGCTCTCTGTGGGTTCTGAGACACCTGAGCCTTCCTTTAGTCTTCTGTGGCCAGTGCTGGCAGGAGCTGCCAAAGGAAGGCGTAAATGACAACCCTTCCCTGATGGACGACTCCGTTTTGAGGTGCAAACCATCTGGCTGGCTTTTTTAATCTTCTTGAACACAGAAATCTATCAATTGTGCTTCCTGGGTGTTTAAGGCAGATTCGAGGGAGGCGTGTGAGGTCCCTTTGTGTGAGAAACAGAGTCAAACACCCTTTCCCCCGAGTCTTGACTTCATGAGTGGAACATTCCAGTCGACAGGGCACAGGGTGGGAAAGAAAAGTATAAATAAATGGGGTCATCCCAGGCTCTGCGCTGTCCCCCTGGAGGCCACAGGATCACACACTTCCTGTCCACTTCCCAGTTCCTTGGATTCAATCTTAAAGCTCTCATGGACATATTATTTGGTCCCCAAAGTGCTCCCCAGTTGGTGACATACTTTGCAGCTTTGCCAAGATGCCCCCCAGTCCTAAGTTTAACTTAGCGAAGGTTCTGAGACTCTCCAGTGAGTCACACTGTGTGCTCCAGAGATGCACTGTAGTGTCTAATCCCAGCCTTTTCAGAACTGTTTTTTGAGCATGTTACAGGCCAAGAAGGACCTACATGATCCTCTGCAGGAGGTCGGAGGACCTGGGGAGCTCCCAGATGGACCCCTTCCCTTCGGCCCTGTTTGATCCCAAGACGAATTTCCTAATGCAATGGGATTTTCAAGGTCTCTACATTCATGGGGGAAGGAAGGGATCCTGTGTCCACACTTCTCCAAAGATGACAACATCCTCTTCAACACCCCATGAGCCCCTCACAGTGTGGCCAGACACTCCTCTCATCTCAGGATGGAGGATGTACCCCTGCCTCTGACATTCTTCCAACCAAAACAGCAGTAATGAGAACATCGAACCCAGAAATGGCCTACGAGTTCCCATCTTGAGTGCTGAGACACCATGGGGAACACAAGAATCCTGGTGCCACCAAGCTGAGTGACAATGGCAAGTCACACAAGGAGGTTGACACATGGCTAAGGACTGAATGGGCCTTCAGAGGAGTCTTCCGTGCTGAGGACAGAAACAGAAACAGGCCACCACTCCCTTGCCCTCTGCAGATACCTTGGCACTCAGTGTCACTGGGATGGGACTGGCTGGCCGTGCCACAACAGTAATCGTAAAAGAGAGATGCTATTAATAAGAACAAAGGCTGGGAGGCACAGGCAGGGGTGTGTGCTCATCCCCTGGGCAGCGTATCATCTGTAGTTACTAATTTTCATGTGCAATATGGACAACTTAGCTGGGTGGATCCCCTCTACTTTCAGCCCCCCAAATAGAGTCTACCAGACAATCCAACTCTTCTCAGAGCCCAACTTCAGCAAGCATCTTGGGTTTACTCCCCTCCCCCCCAGGCATGCAGGTATGGTAAAAATGCCTTTTGTGGACATCAGAGGCCCCACTTCACTACAAGCCAAGTCCCCAGGCCTTTGCCCAGCTTAACACAGCTGTTATCCACAGTGCTCACAAACAGCTGAAACAATAAAACCAGACCACTGTTTTCATAGTCAAACTCCCCGTAAGGCCACCAGAGTTCTGAACATGTCAGCCATAGGCGTCTCAACCTGTCATCACCCGCTTCATTTAAGCACTGTGAACCTGTGTGACTGTCTTTGGAGGGCTGTCTTACCTATGTGACCCACATGGGTGGGAATTTGGGGGCCTGTTGGACAGCCAAAATATTTTCGGGGTTTCAAGTCTTTAAATCACTTCCAAGCATGATTCTGCAGCTAGCTAGTAGGTCATGCCGCTGAGAGTCAACGCTTCCTTAGAAAATTCGAGCTGTGTATTTTTCTCCAGAAAATATTTATTTATTTCCTTTCCTTCCTTTGGTTTTACCAGATAGTCTGGCTTCAGCCTGACTCACTTGACAATTTTTTTCTATTAGGCGCTGAGGAAATTGCTCAGATGTAAAGCCCCAGCTGTGTAACATGAGGAGTTGAATCTCTGGGGTAGTTTGAATGTAACGGGCCCCCACAAACTCATGAGTGTCACTATTAGGAGATGTGACTTTGCTGGAGTAGGTGTGACCTTGTTGGAGGAAGTGTGTCACTGTGGGGTGAGCTTTGAGGTCTCATAGATGCTCAAGCCATGCCCAGGGCTTCAGACCACTTCCTGTTGCCTGCCAGTCAAGATGAAGGACTCTGAGTTCCTTCTCCAGCACCGTGTCTGCCTGCGTGCCACCATATCAATGATAATGGACTAAACCTCTGAAACTATAAGCCACCCCAATTAAATGTTTTTCCTTGATAAGAGTTGTCAAGGTCATGGTGTCTCTTCACAGCAATAGAAACCTAACTAAGATAGAACCATCCCCAGGACTTGAGCAAACAACTGGGAGAGGGGTTCATGCTTATAATCCTAGAGCTAGGGAGGGGACAGAAGGATCCTGGCGCTCACGGCAGCCAGTGGAGTAGAATCTGTGAGCTGCACTCCTACAGTGGCATTTCAATTGTATTTTAATAAATAAAGACTGCATGAAGATCTGAGAGTAGAAGAGTCCCACTGGACAGCCTTACAGAGCAGGTTATGGTGACACACACCTTTAATCCCAGCAGCCACACTAGTTGCCAAAGAAACCAGATGGTGCACATCTTTAATCACGGTGGTGCACGCCTTTAATCCCAGCCCTGGGGAGGATTATAAAATGGGAGGAAACAGCTCTCAACACACACTGAGATTCTGGAGGCAGGATCAAAATTTCAGACTGAGGCTGAAGTAAGAGCCAGTGGCTGACTGTTTTGCTTTTTAGATCTTTAGGTTGAACTTCAATTTCTGACCCTGAGCTTTTATTAATCGCACTTCAGACTCCCAATGTACTCTATTCTCAAAGGAGGTGGGCTGGGGGTGACACACAACATTGACCTCTGACCTCCGTACATTATGCATACACTTGCACACAGGCATGCACACACATAGGTAGAACGTCTCCTTTAATGGGAACGAGCAATCAAATGTCCCCTCTGAGAAAGTGCTGGATGATGTCCCCTGAGGAGGGAGACAGGTGGGGCCCCTACTGTGAGCCTTTGCTGTTAGACTCTTCCGATTTGATCGTCTAATTTTGTCAAAGAACTTTTGAATTTTAGTTTGTAAACTTATTTCTTTTTCCAAATCCATTTGGAAAATTATCACATGGAAATTCCCTGTTAGTTTATATCTAATAAAACTTGTGTTTCTGTTTCTAAAGTTGGCCTTCACTGGTGGGTTGATTACTTAGCCTGCATGTATCCAAACTATGTAACTGCTTCCTTAAATCCAGTTTCATTGACTTAATTCTCTTTTATCATGTTTAAACAGCATTAGGTATGAAAACATATACCCACTGTTGTGGGTAATTTTTTTTGTCAGTATAACTCAAGCTAGGTTCATCTGAGATGAGGACCCTCACCTGAGGAAGATGCCTCCCTCAGATGGCCTGCAGACAAGCCTGTGGGGAATGTTCTTGATTAATGGCTGATGTAGGCATGCCTGGCTGCTGTAAGAAAGCAGGCTGAGCGAGCCAGATGGAACTAGCCAGTAGGCAGCGTTTTTCCACGGCTTCTGCTTCAGTGCCTGCTTCCAGGTTCCTGCCCTGACTTTCCTCCGTAACTGAATATAAGCTATATGATGAAATAACCCCTTTCCCTCTCAGGCTGCTTTCGTCGGGGTTACAGCAAGGATAACAATACACACACCCAAGGCAGCTCTCCATGCGCTGAGGAATTTTTAATCTTAACAGACGACTTCTAAGGGGTGTACTGGATCAAACTACCTAAAAACATGCCAGCTGGAGGTTTGGTTTTGTTTTCCGCATTACTGGGGATGGAGTGCAGGCCCTTGAGCATGCTCAGTAGGTGCTCACCCAGTGTCCCTCCCTCATGCCCGGCTTCCACAGTTCTCTCTGATTTGGCTAGCTTTGATATGCCCTGTATTCACAACCAACCCTCTGTTCACACACACACACACACACACACACACACACACACACACACACATCTATATCTATATCTATAGATATATATGTATATGTATATGTATATGTATATCTATAGCTCCATTCTGGTTTGCTTTCTCTGGCTCTCAGAAGACCCAAATTCAAGAGCAACTTGGAGAGGAAGGGGGTTATTTGCCTTATACTTCTGGGTCACAGGTCAATTGAGAAAAATCCCTCCATAAAATTGAGCTGGAGGCCGGGCGGTGGTGGCGCACGCCTTTAATCCCAGCACTCGGGAGGCAGAGGCAGGCGGATCTCTGTGAGTTCGAGACCAGCCTGGTATACAAGAGCTAGTTCCAGGACAGGCTCCAAAACCACAGAGAAACCCTGTCTCAAAAAACCAAAAAAAAAAAAAAAATTGAGCTGGAGGCAAACCTGTAGGGCATTTTCTTAATTAGTGATTGATGGTGGTGCCATCCCTTAGTGGATGGCCCTGGGTTCTATAAGAAAGCAGGCTGAGCAAGCCATGGAGAGCAAGCCAGTCAGCAGCACCCCTCCATGGCCTCTGCATCGCCCGAGGCCTCCAGGATTCTGCCATATTGGACTTCCTGTCCTGATGAGGAGCAGTGCTGTGATGTGGAGGCATAAGCCGAACAAACCCTCCCCTCTCCAAGCTGCTCCGGTCACAGTGTCTTATCACAGCAATAGAGACCCTACCTAAGACAATAGGTAAAGTAAAACTAAAATAAAAATTAATATAAACTTTAAAAAAAAAGAGAAAAGTTCTGACATGACATTATGAAGCAATGAGCCTCCAAAGATGCCCCGAGTCTGTTTTCTGTTGGCCGTCTACTACAGGAATCCCAGCCTATCCTTAAGAGTGGTTTGTTTTCCCAGGGCAACCCCCTTAGAGAAAGCTAAGTTTTCATTTATGAGTGGTTACCGGCTGGAGATAGGTTTTGGATTAGGGACGGGGGCATGTGTCCACTACTCCTTTCTAGGACCCCATCTTGTGTAGACCCCTGCAGGTCCTGTGCACACAGCCTCAGTCTATGTGAGTCCGTGTGCGTCAATCCAGTTGAGTTAGAAGACTGCTTTCCTTGGTGTCCTCCATGCTCCCTGGCTCTTACACTCTTTCTGCCCCTTCTTCCACGGGGTATCCTGAGTCCTGAGAGGAAGCATTTGATGGAGACATCAAAATCCATTCAGGGTTGAATGTTCCATGGTCTCTCACTCTTTGCATAATGTCTGCTGTGGGTCTCTGGATTTGTTCCTGTCTACTGCAGGAGGAAGCCTCTCTAATGATAGATGGGCAAGGCACTGGTCTTTGAGTACAGCAGCATGCCATTAGTAGTCAATTTATTGCTGAGGGTTTTTGTTGTTGTTTTTATTTTCTACACCAATATTATTTGGTTTCTCCCTAGGCCCCTGGGCTATCTAGTTTTAGGCTTTTGGTCACCCAAGCAGTGTTGGATATGGGTTCCATTTTGTGGAGCGGGCCTTAAGTATCAGATACTGGTTAATTGTGCCACAAGCTTTGTGCTGCAAATGCCTTTGCATATTTTGCAGGCAGGACACAGTGTAGATGAGCTGATGGGTTTGTGACTGGCCTGTTTATGGTTCTCCTTTGGAAGCCTGCAGAGTACCTTCCTGCACAAAAGATGCTGGCGCACAAGGGGCACCAGCTTGACTTCTCCATGCTCACTGGGTTGTATAAGTGTGTTCTTCAGCAATAGTGGCTTGTCAGTTTGTGGAGAGCAGTCTGTAGTCTTGGCAACAACATGGGTTGTTCGGGGGTTCCCATGGGACCCCCTTGTCCAACAAAATTAGATGTAACCCAATCCCAGTACTGGAGGATTTGATGAAAAGAGATGTCCACTTGGGGCTCTGTGTCCCCCATTATTTGGTGATGTCATTTAGATTGTCTTTATATATGTCTGTAATTTAGGAAACTTCTATTGTATTAGGCTTCTAAACTATCTCTCAATGACCCTTAATTTTAACTGTCTCTCTCTGTCCTCCCTCCCCCACCCTCCTTTTCCCTCCCATCCCCACTTGATTCTCCTATTCTAGTCCTCTTCACCCATCCATCTGTAACTAGTCTATTTAGTTCCCTGGACTATACCTAACCTCTGTGCTTCAGCCAATCATAGCTTGGTTACTATTGACTTGTCAACTAATATCTACATATAAGTGAATTTGTACTATATTTATCTTTCTGGGTCTGGGTTACCCCACTCAGGATGATTTTTTACTTGTGAATTTCATGGTTTTGTTTTTTTTGTTTTGTTTTGTTTTTTTTAGCAACTGAGTAATATTCCATTGCAGAGATGCACCACCTTTTCCTCATTCATTCATCTGTTGAGGGACATCTGGGTTGTTCTCAATTCCAGGACATTATGAATAGAGCAGCAGTAAGCATGGTTGAGCAAGTGTCCTTGTGATAGGATGAAGTGTTCTTTGGGTATATGCCCAAGAGTGGTGCAGTTGGCCCTTGAGGTAGATCAATATGTGATTGTAGCTGTAGCAGCGTTTCTTTTATAAACTTTGGTGTCCTGTGTTCAGCACATAGATGTTAAGAATTGCAATTTCCTCGTGGTAGATTTTTTTTTCTTTTGCATATGTAGTGTCCTTCCCACCTCTTCTGATTAGTTTTGGTTTGAAGTCTATTTTGTCAGATATTAAAATGGCCACACCAGCTTCCTTCTTAGGTGCATTTTCTAAGAATATCTTTCTCTACCCTTTTATCCTTAGGTGATGGCTCTCCTTGATGTTAAAGTATGTTTTTTGGAGGCAGCAGAAGAATGGATCCTGTTTTTGCATCCATTCAATCAGTCTGTATCTTCTTACTGGGGAATTGAGGCCTTTAGTTGTGACAGTAATCAATAAGCCATGTTTGATTTCTGTTAGTTTGTTGTGGTGGTGGTGATGGTATGTGTGTGTGTGTGTGTTGTGTGTGAGCGCACACATGTGTGTTTCCCCTCTTTTGATTGCTAGTCTGGGATTATTTACTCCTTGTGTTTTCTTGGGTGTGGTTAACCTTTCTAGGCTGGAGTTTTCCTTCTAATGCCTTTAGTAGAGCTGTGTTTGAAGACAGATATTGCTTAAATGTGGTTTCATCATGGAATGTCTTACCCTTTCCATCCATTCCTCATTAATTCTTACAACTTTTATTTCTTTATTCTGGCTAGGAGCTCTAATACAGTACCAAATGGAAGCATTGATCCTTCTCTCATGAGTCTCTTTTAAAATATTCACTGAATGTATTTAACATTTTCATGTAAATCCTGCTGTATCTATCACAAGGATCACTTGGCTTTACCGTTAATACAGTAAGTTGTGTCAAATAGCAATTTAGTACACAGTGTTACTCCTTTTGCAGAGAGCTGTTTGTAGTACTTAACAATATGGATAAGAGAGCACCAGTATCCAGGAGAGGTCCCAGAAAACATCTAGCACACGGGACATAGTCACCTTGAGAAGAGAGGGTATGGCCACACTGATAAGTGTCTTAAAGTATTGATGCCTTGACATCTCAAGTCTTGCCAGCTTCAGAGAAAGTAGACAGAGAGAAGAGACAAAGAACTGGACTCCATGTGTGATAAGAGGGAAGGGAAGGTAATGGGAAGGGTGTATATTAGTTAAGCCTTATCAAAAGGTATTTCTTTTTCTCTCAGAAACCAAGAAACCTAAGCATTAGTCTGGGTGAGATAAATGTGGACTAGTCTCCAGAAGGCATAGGACCTCAGTAATGTCGCAAAACCAGCTTTTCAAAGCAGACCAAAGACGTTTGGAATTAATAGAGCCATAATGGCACACTTCCTTTGGTGGGAGTCCATACAGAGTGGAATCGATCCTCCCCCAAGCATGGCTGTCCATTCTGGCCAATGAAGCTTGGAGCTAACTGAGTCCTGTGGACCTGTGGTGACAACTCCCTGAGAAACCCTCAGCTGACACAGAAACTTCTAGACGCTGATCATTTGCTCTGCCTCTCCTGTAGAAAGGGGGGTGGTCCCCGCTCTCTGCTTTCCTCTCCTCAGCTTATCATAGTCTCTTGCACATCGTGTCTACTTAAGCCAGTGTGTTTTCAAAGGATGGCCTTAATCTCTTGCTGGCGGTGGTGAAGAGCAGAAAATAGAAGTACCTCAAGCAGAGGAGGCTAGCATATGGAATGGATTAACAGCCCCTGCCCTCTGCAAGCGAGCGTTCCATCTGTGCTCGCTGCTTCCATTCTGGGCTCTGCATAGATCAGATAGGGGTGGGGGAGCCCCAGGAAAGCAGTGGGGTCCAGGCACATGTGGCCAATTGCTTTTTTGCCTCTGGTAAAGTTCATGTTTGATTGTGTTTCAGATTATGTAGACCCAGACATTTTTTACACGGTCATCCGGATTTTCCTCTCTGGGTAAGTACAGTGCCGTCGGTTTCCTGCCTGAGACCTTGGTATGATTTCCCAAATTTGTGTGAGGGTGGACAGACAGGAGCTTTCTAAAGTAAGAAATACAGCAAGTGACTGAAGCTGGCAAAGTCTCCACCTGGGTTTACTCTAGGAGGACAGACCCTCCCCACACCATCAAAAGGAAGAAGGGTACCTACGTGCAAAGGAATTGTCTTTAGCCGCTGGACCAGAACCATGGATCTCTTAGAAGCCTAACTTGACGACAAGGGCAAAAAAAAAAAAAAAAAAATAAGAGATAGAAGTAGGGAGAGGGGTGTGGAGGGGAAGAGGAGGAGGAGAGGGAGAGTGAAGAGGAAACCTGGAAAGTAATTGTCATGATTTTCCCCTTTGCCCTTTGACCTCATGAGGTCATAGCATCCAGGGACCCATCTAGAAACCAGGGTCCAGATCTTTACCTGACTGAACTGTCACTGCCTTGGCCTTCAGAGCGGTCAGAGCGGTGGGGAATACAGTCTCGCTGTTTTGCTGTGTGCTGGCAGGAATAGTTCAAGGCCCTTGCTAGGCCTTGCTTTGCTGATCCTGGGTGCTCTTGTTTTATCTTAGAGCTATGTGATTCCTTATCTCTCTTTCTCTCTTTCTGTCTCCCTCTGTCTCCTTCCCCCTTCTCTCTCTCTCTCTCTCTCTCTCTCTCTCTCTCTCTCTCTCTCTCACACACACACACACACACATCAAGCACATTTCTTCTCCCAGTTATCCTTGTCTTGAGATTTTAGTTCACCAACTACCAGTGTCCGGTCAGTTTTGAATGTCTCTGTCTTGTTGGTTTGGAGGTGCATGGGATACTGTTGAGAGAAAGAATTAAAGTGGTGCCTAGACACAGCAAGAGACAGACCAGATGCAAATCCATTATTGCTATGCCCCATTGGAAGAAAAACAAAATGGATACATATATAATATACTTTCTTCAAATTGAAGAGCTGTGGGACACTTTAAGGGGGGCCTGGCTTGGGAGGTGAATCCTACTGAGGGGGTAAAGATTAGAAACAAGATTTCTAGAGAGTAACCTGAGAGAAATACAGAGGAGAGTGAGCTAACAGTCATACAGTGTAGATTCTAAGGAGCCCCAAAGGCTGTGTGTTGAAGGCTTGTCTGCCAGTCTGTGGTGCCAATGAGAAGTCGTGGAAGTATTAGGAGGTAGAAGACTCCTGGAAGGAAATCATACCCGTGAAGGGCTTGAGGGACCCCAGCCCCAAGGTCCCCAGCCTTGCTCCTTCATGTTCTTTCTACCCTGATGCACCCCTCAGTCATAGCCCAAGTGATGAGATCAAAGGTCCAAGGACCAAACCTCAAACCAAACCAGAAGAGCTTCATGTTCTGATAGGTCGATTCTTTCAAGCGTTTCCCCATGGCAACCATTTTGATCTAAGGGGCAACAAAAGCCTCTCTTTATATGAGACCTACAGCAGGCATATACTAGACTGGTCAGTGAGCCAGACCTCCCTAAGTGGTTCCCTACTTCTGAAGCCCCTGTCAGCTCTCTGTAGAATACTTCCACGTGTTCAGCAGCTTTAAACACCTGGCTGTTTTCTCAGTTCTGTGGGCCCAAAGTGCAGGCAAGCTCAGGGTGATTTCTGTTATGGCCTCTAGAGGTTGAAATCAAGGTAATCGGAGGGAGGGCTGGTCTCTAACCATGAGGTTGTTGAGACAAAATCTCACTATGTAGCCCAAGCTGGTCTTGAACTTGGGATTTCTTTGCTCAGCCTCCCTTGCTCTGTGGTTATGGGTATACATACACCAACATACCTGGACTAGACGGCTTTAGCTGAAAATGTGACCAAAACTTTGTTTCCTGACTCAGTGCTAGCAGATTAGGTTTTGCATTGGTGTGTGTGTGTGTGTGTGTGTGTGTGTGTGTGTGTGTGTGTGTGTGTAGAAATGATAGCTGGACTGCTAGAAGCTTCCTATGTTGCCCCACCATGTGGCAATTGTGGTTTCTGACACAGTGATGGTTCTTGGAGTTTTTCTAGAACTACACATTTTTCTGACTTCTCCTTTGACCACCAGGGATGAGTCAGGGAAATTCCCACATGAAGGTTAAATTGATTAGTCGCATCTGAATGGTCCTTCTGCCTTGCCGTATAATAGATCACACTGATGGGAACATCTCATAGTATTAAGTGTCCTAGGAATTCAGTTGGAAATCTTGGGGAACTAATTTTAGAGTCCTACGCACCAGTGTCTTTCAAAGGAAGCCATTCTACTTCCTCCTTTCTCAGAGCATGATAGGAACCAGAAGGTAGCTTGGTTTTCATCAAAATAAGTGCAGGGTAATGGCACTTTTTATCTGGTGTCTGCATAAAGGCCTGTCCTCGGTTTCTCTTCTTGAGACTGTTTTCTGGGTGGCTAAGAGGCTGGACCAAATCCTAGAGCATAGCTATAGTTTCAAAAAGCATCCAGAGTGTTGAGAATTTACAATAGACTTGTCTTTAAAATGTCTGTTTCCCCACTCTGCATCTGCCTTGCTTTGGGTCTTTGATTTCTCATTTGCTTCTTAAAACACATTTAAAAAAAAAAAAAAAACTTAGGAGATGATTTCATTTGGAAACGAGATGTGTTCCCTTCAGTTCCCAGCCCAGAAAGGCCAGGAACTCCTCTGGGGGAAAATGTCACCTCATTTTTGCTGTCTCTTTTGACTTCCCCTTTCCTTGAAAACGCTAGAAATAACACCAGAAAGGCTACAAATAACCTTACCATAGAAACCGGAAATGAACATGGCCCCATCCCTTCCCAAACAGCAGCCCAGCCTGGGAGTGCCTGGGAGAGCTGCTCACAGAGACAGCGAGTCTCACATGGCCGTGGAGTGTGAAAGCAGACCCACGTCCCTTGTCATCTGCCCTTTGTGCTGCAGGTTCCTGCATCAGTTTCAGCATGGCTGGCTATAGCAAAGCAACTCCAGTGTGTGCTGGAGGGACCCTTCCTGTGTATTCTTGGCCTTCGCCATATTGGATAGTTCCCTTAGGCTAGCTGGATCCTTTCAAGAACTTGGCTTGAGTCTTCTGGTGGTATCATACTTGAAGGGGGACTCCCGCACAGTGGGGGCTCCTTCTCCAACCCCAAGGAAGCACAGACCATGCCCAAACACCTGTTTTTACAGAGAGTTCCTTTATTAAGCAAGGAAGAAAAGTTAAAATGGCTGCTTTCTGACTTGGGCAGTAAAACAGCAGCAAATGATCTTGCAGGTGTAGTTTTAAGCGGAGAAGAGAGGGAGAGGTCTGTGTGAGAATGGGCCAGGAGGTGGTGGCAGAGGGCATAGAAGATGAGGGAGAAGGGTAGAGGAACAAGGGGAAGAGGGCAGGGGTATTTGTCCTGAAGGGACAAAGGGCTGCCTCTGGATAGAGAGGAGACAGTCTGGCACATAGGCAAATGGAGGTTTATAAAGGTAAAGGGGGACCCTTGTGTTAGGATGAGTTAGCTATGTGAGCCAGACAAAGGGGACTTTGAGAGCTGGGCCTTGGTCGTCAGACTCAGGAAGAGGGATTGGCCAAATAAGGTAATGGACTTGGGAGCTAGCTTCAGGAATGTAATCTAAAAGTTTTTAGGCAGAGGAAATGGGAGAGAGGGGCAAGGCCTCACAGCGCTCGAGCTGGCCAGAGTCCCTTCAGGACTGACTGGTGGAATGCTCATTTTTCATTCATTTATTTCATCAAATAAACACACGGCGAGGGCTTCCCACATTCCAGACAGCGTCGTACGTGCTGAAAACAGCAGCGAAAAAGAAAAACAAAGGTCCTTGTGGAGCTGGGGATTTCAGGGTGGAGAGAAGATGCTAATAGACAAACCTAATCAAAGCAAACATTCTACAATGCGTGTTACCACATGGGGCAATGCCAAGTAGGATGTAGGGTACTAGGGAGAGACTACTAGGTATCTTGTTTATTGGGATCTAAAAATACCACATCCCAAGTGACGTGTGAGTAGATATACCTGGGCACTGGAGCAGGCCATGTGGATTCTTGTTCCAAGCAAAGGGAACAATTGCTACGACATTGAGAAGAGAGCAGGCATGAAGAACGGGATCAAACATGCCAGAGAAGGTGAAGGATGCATCATTGTGGAGGCCAGACAGCTTGGGCAAGGCTGGCTTCCTTTGGGAGAGGCACAGTCAGGGGATAACTAGCGATGTGTCTGGGGCTTTGGGTTGTCAGTACAGCTGCCGAATAGGGTGGGATGGTGAAGAACAAGGTTGGAAAGGAGGCGTTCAGTGGTGAACCAAAAGGGAAGCAGCTGAGGGGAAATGAGGGGCAATCATCTTGAAGATGAGGCAGGAGCTGGAGGGGATGCATCCTGTGGGTCCTCACGCAGACCACAGAGACATGGGAGCATGTGTATGCACGCAGCTGCTCTTCACACAGATCACAGCACAAGTGCTGGTGTGGACTAGGTTCATTATCCCCACAGCAGCTATGTCTGCAACGTTTCTTGCTCAGAAAATGTCCTTCTCCCATTGCACTAGCCTGAAATTCTTTGGACTGTTTGCAGACCTCTCTGGAGCTCATTTAACTCCCAGAACAGGTACAGGAAGCAGGTTCCCCTACAAACTAGGGAGAGGCTCAGGAAGGCTTGTCCATTGTGGCTGAGCGATGAGAGCTATGGCAGGCATTCGCGCTCCCTGGGGTTGCTAGGACGGTAAATGGCGGGTGCTTACTGGATGTTTAATATGTTCCAGGCAAATAGTATTTGAGTTAGTTCTTACAATGACCAACAAGATAAATATGAATGTCAATGCAAAACACAGCTCTTACCTCAAAGGACTAAGAGTTAGTTTATTCTTTGGCCAAACATTAGTGGCCAAAAAACACAGATTCAAGTTGTCCCCAAATAACATGGCCCAACGTGGAAATGAATGGAAGAGTTTTTGGACAAAGGACAAAGAAAGTTACCAACCAAGGGATTTTGTGGGTACATTGATGGGGACCTCAGGTAGGTGACCTAGAGGAAGCCAAGGAAAGCACCATACATAGGTCACACACAGATGGCGTATGATGGCACTTTCAGCTTTGGGGTGGTAGAAACTCTTTGTCTACTGAGTCAATACATTCCAAAGAGTCATAGAGATACCGGGTCAGACAGGAGGGGGTTAAAGATAGCCCAGTGTCATTTGAATCTGGATCTTCAACATTCTAACTCTCTGTGACCAACTCAGTCAATTAGAATCTTTAACTCAGGCATGCCTCCCCCAGGAACTTCAGTTCCTACTGATACCACTCAGAAGGAAGCCAGGGCTCTGAGAGGTTAAATGTGATAAGCCAGGCCTATCAGCTCACACAGTGAGGCTGAGCTTGAATTCTGTATCTTCCCAGGATAGAGCCCCTGTCCCACAGTCTACAAGACACCTCTGCCTCCCCTTCTTGTGTATCCTCCCTTCTGCCCTCTGTGCTGTGCCTCCTTCCTGAATGTGGCTGCCCAGCTGATAACTGTAGAGATTCATGGGACAGTTGACCCCAAACTGTCTCCAAATATGGCAACCTGGCTCCTCTGTACTTCTGCAACCCCAGAGCAGAGTCTGGAGAAGGTCCAGGATGTCATGGGGTGGGGGAGTCAGCACATAGTTGTTGAATATATGGGGTCCACGCACACGCATCTCCCTTCTCTGAACACAGTGACTTAGAATGACAGAGACATCACTACAAACCTGCTACTTACCCTGTGACCCAGATGCTTTGTTGGTTGGCAGAAGAGGACTCACCCTTCTTGATCTAGATGGCAAAGCTCTTAAGGAAAGGACTCCAGAAGCACAGCTTTGGAACGCAAGTTGAGTGTGTCATGTCAGGTCCTATTCTGTGGGGAGTCTGGAGCTGGCCAGATTCGCTCTCCCTTCCTCAAACCACAGTTGATGCCATGCCCACTTCCTCGCTGGCTCAGTGCTCATGGCAGAGAAGACGCTGTGCCCTGGAACATCCCTCTACACTCTTTTTTTTTTTTTTGGTTCTTGCCTAGGTGGAAGGACAACCCAGCCATGCCTGAAGGGCTGCTCTATGAGGGTGTGGCCACGGAGCCTTTGAGGTACTCAGGAGGAAGTGCAGCCCAGAGTTCTGTGCTTCAGGCCTTTGACGAGTTCCTGGGCATTCGGCATTGCAAGGGAAGTGGTAAGCAACGATCTGGTCTCACATATTCTCTCAGGGTGAGAATTAGGCAAAATGGGGAGGCATCTTTACCAACTTATAAAACTAGGTGTAAATAATAACGTGCTGGAGTTTGTCCCTGCCTAAACCACCAGACAGTTGTGCCCATGTTAGTCAATATCGGAGCTTCAGATTGCAGAAGGATCCTGGGTTCGTTTTCAAGTTTTAACACAAAGTCTTGGAACGGTGAACACCTGGGCTGGTCACTGTCATGTGGGCTTGGGTCCTTAGTCTGTAAACTCAAAGGCTAGGACCTTGTGTGGCCGGGTCTGCAGCAGCCAGTGATGGGTTTGAACTCTTCTAGTGCCCTTCCCATGAGATGGCCCAGACTCCCGCTGAATCCCTCTGGGCCAGAAGAGGGAGCCCATCGATTTGAAGCCTCTGAAGGAGTTATTGCTTTGCTTACGAGCACAGAGCTATACCCTTAACAGCTAAAAAAAGGTTTTTCATGCTCCAAAACTTTGACTTGGATCAGGACCAAATTGAAACTCTCTTGTCTCATCTGCACTGTTTTCTGGAAGAGCCAGAGCTGTTCCTGGACTTCAGCATTTGACATTAGTTACTGACTTTCTATAAACAAAAAATCACAACAGCAGCAAAAACCAATAACCAAAACAAGCAAACAAAACCTCACATTAGTTAAGGGGGTAATGAGTTTTCTAGTAAACACTTGAGTTTTCAGTATTTTGGCTTCTCTGGGTTTTTACTGAGATTTCTGTTTCCCAATGTCTTCTCTATGCCCTTGGTAGCTGGTTCCACCCGTGCAACCCTTCACCACAAGAAGCATCTAACAGAATTCACCAGGATGTTCTGGCAGTCAGTGTAAGGGTTTGTGTGCATGTGTGTAGATGTGCCTCATGACCCTCAGCAGGAAATGTCATGTCATTCATGTTTGGTTTGGGATACATACACCCTAGTTCGTAGATTCCTGTCCAATCTGAGAGATGCTTGCCTCTTTTTCTTATTTGCATCTCTTGTCAACATCCAGAAATGTGCATTTGAGTATTTGGAAGCTATAACAAAAGACCAACTAGGCTGAACAAGACCCCTATCCAACCCTTCTGGTACCAGTGTGTCTAGATATGGAACAGCAGGCAAAGGCTCCTGAATGCTGACCTTGTGTTAAGATTTTACTCCGGGCTGTTTCTTTCAGTAGACTTTCTGCACAGAATGAGAGACTACATGCCGCCTTCCCATAAGGCCTTCCTGGAGGACCTGCATTCAGCTCCTTCGCTGAGGGACTACGTACTGACCTCTGGTGCTGGGTGCTGCCTGATGGCCTACAACCAGTGTGTGGAGGCGCTGGTGCAGCTGCGCAGTTACCACATCAATGTGGTGGCACGTTACATCATCTCCGCTGCTTCCAGGGCCAGGAGCAAGATGCTGAGCCATCCCTCGCCCCATGCCTTGGAGGATAGGGGCACTGGGGGAACTGCAGTGCTGAGCTTCCTGAAGAGCGTCAGGGAGAAGACCGTGGAGGCCATCCTGAACCCTAATGCTTAACAGTTCACACCCCACATCCTTGTGCTTAGCAGTTCACACCCCGCATCCTTGTGCTTAGCAGTTCACACCCCGCATCCTTGTGTTTACGCCTTGTGGGAGTCTGAGCCAGGACCAGAGCTCTGCCTGAACCCAAGCATACTTTTGCTCCCAAGAACCCCTTGTTCTTTGTTCATAAACTGTAGCTCCCACTTCCACCCCACCCTCAGCCACTTTGCTTGCTAGAAACCTTTCTGTCCTGCTTGATCCCCTTACCTCACAGCCGAGAGCTGAAACCAAGTCTCCATTCAGTGGGCAAGTCAGAGATACCCAAGCTCAAGTTTAAAAGAATCAAATTGCCTTCGGGCTTCTCACCTCATCTTTTCCTCCTCTCAATCTCTTTTCCCCTTCCCTCTTTCTCCCCTCCCTCTCCCCCCCCCCACTTTGTCCTTTTCTTGTCTTCCTGTGTTTACTCCTTTTTCCTCTTCTTCCCTCTGTCCCCATCCCTCCTCCCTTCCTTCTCTCTCTTTGTCTTTGACCCAGGATCAAACTACTCCAGACCAGCTTCCAGTAGATCCTGTGATTCCTCTACCTTAACCTTCTGAGGTTATACATGTGTACTAACTGCCATGAGCTCTCTCTTCATTTCTTTTCTTTTACCCTGCTGGAGGTGACACCTAAGGTTTCGTACACACCAGGCAATTGTTCCACCACTGAGCTCCAGTCCCAGCTCTCTGTGTTTCTCATTTTGAAAGAAAGTCTTATGAGTTTCTTGGGCTGGTATTGAGCTTTTAAGCTCATGCTAGACTTAGTGTTTGAGTATCTGGAATGAGCCAGTGAGCCATGTCGCTGCTGCTGACAATGATGGTAATGATGGTTGCCTCCCCCTCTTCCTCTTTGTTTATTTTTGGTTTTTATTTTGAAACAGGTTCTTACCATGTTTTAGCTCAGGTTGCCTTCGACTCAAGGCAATCCTCCAATCTCAGCCTCCCCTGCACTGGGACTGTAAGCATGGCCCACCACAGCTGGCTGTAGAGTCTCTTCTCTAAGTCCCTGCTGCGCTGCTCTACAGAGCCTTGGTTGGGGGACCGTCAGTGAACAGGGACAACCTTCTCCTCTCTGCCCATGCTGAATTCAACATTGAGGGTTAGATGCTTCAGTGGGGACATGTGGGTGAGGGTGCTGGGCATACAAACCTAAATGTCACCAGCATGGGGACTCTCTGCGACTGAACTGGAACTGATGCGTCTTCCCCACATGGTGGAGTCATCGCGAATTCTATTTTAATTCTCTGCTCTATTTTTAGGGCAATGTTTTTCTTTTTCCTAGTGACACTGGAATTTGTATTTGAAAAATGCTTTAATTGACCCTTTGAAACGAAGTGAGCCAAACAGGAATAAATAGAAAGTCCACATGTTTTCGGATATAAATAAATGTAGCTGTTATTTTTGAAGTTTCTAGCTCTAGGTCTTACTCTACCTGACAGTAGAAAACTCAGATTTCACCCGTTTAAAGCCATTTTCATTAACTGGGCCTCCCCCACGTTTCAAATGCATATGTGCACACACACACCTGCACCAGACTTTCCTTCCATCGTCCCGTCTAGGAGGGGAGCATCAGTGAGGACCATTTGATCATTGCCCAGCCTTGTCCAAATGCCTGGCCCCTGTGTGGATCCAGATCAGGTGGACTTAGCATCCCCGTTCATCATATCTAAAAAGGCTTTCAGGCCCCATGGTCCTGCTGTTCCATAGTCCTGCCACCATAAAAACACATGAGATTGGCTTAGGATTTCTACTTTTCAGTACCTGGGGAAGAGAGAGAAGGCTAGCTCCAAAAGAGGGCGCAAGTCAGGTCCTACCCCAAGGCATTGGGGCTCTTCCTGTCTCATATCCCCTGGGCTCCATCCAGCAAAGATTGGGGGTACACCTGACCATGATAAGGGCTTCTCAGAGCCCCAGGGTCATGCTCCTCTGTCACCACTCTTGCTGCTGCTCTTCCTGGTGTAGGGCTTAGCAGCACCCTCGTCTCTTGTTCTCTCCAGAGCCTCAGCCTGAGCTTATAATGACTCAAAAAAATCCTCCTCTCCACCTGATGTCCTTGGCTCCTGGTGAAGTCTCTTTAGCAGCTTCACGCAAGGACACAAGTGTACTTATTTATCTCAAATGTTTCTCTGGGATGAACCATGTGTGTTATGGGTCCAGGAAGTATCTAAGAGGGAGACTAGTTACCTCCATGCCCCCACCCCTTGCTGTTCCCAAAGAGTGGGGGGCCTTCAGGGTAAGACCTAGCTTCCCATTCTGTGGTTCTCATTTTTGAAACAGTGTGCTTGGTTTTCTATCAGTCCCACAGAGAAACTGATCCTTGGTTTCTTACTCATTATGAAATGACGATATCAAGTCTCAGGATGGATAGAAAATAAGGGATAGAGTTTGGGGCAAAGTGTGTTGTTAAGTGGGGGGCTCAGGTGCATTTCTCAGGGGGTATTGCCCCTGTTACCAGTGCAGGAGTTGGGAAGACACGGTTCCTCACAAGGTTGTGTCCATACATGGTTGGAGTGAGTTCTGGTTATTTTTAAGAGGAGTACTAAAGACGCAGATGATTTTAACATCCAGACAGCAAAACCATTAAAGCCATGAAGCTAGGCAGCAGGAGGAGGGTGCTTACAGCTCCAGTCTGCCTTGACTCTGAGCTAGCTCTGAGCTGCCCTTCAAGAGGGACACGGCCCTCTCAGCTGTCAAGGTGCGAAGTCAAGGCAGCAAGTCCCAAACCGAGTCTTCTCTGGCTCATTTGGAAACTGTCATTCACTGTTCCAAATAAGTGTGGAAGTAAAGCCCCTCTGGGAAGAAAAAAGGGAAGGAGAAGAAAGAAAAGAACCAACGCTAACTCCAGCTGTGCATGGACACAACCTTCTAAGGAATGGCGTCTTACTGTCTCCTGCATTGGTAACAGGAGCAACAGCCTAAGAGGGTCTTGTGCACACAGTTCTGACCTTGGGGGCCTAGCCCTGTCTCCATGGATAAGGGTTCACCCTTCATCAGTGTCCTCAAAACCCAGAGGAGGAAATAAGGGGGACAGGGAAGGCAGGGGAAAGGAAGACGGAAAAGAAGGGAGTTGAGATTTTGAGATTATATTTCAGATCTGATTGAAGTTTGGGATCGGGGAGAAAACGCTCTGTACCTGCCAGTCAGCCATTGCTTCCAGAACGAGGAACCCATCCGGAACACAGTCCTGCTATTCCCGTGGACAGATGTTGTATTTGCTGTGCTAATGGAGGAGACGCTTGTCTTCCTTCGCTCATTTAACAGTAAACTTAATAAAGAAGTCGGATTTTACTACTTTCTGAGACGCGATCGCTAGTTAGTCGCTGCAATTTAGCATCTGCTGCCTGCAAACATTAAAAACTGATTTCTTGAGTGTACGCATCATCAAAAAATAAATGAGCTTTTTTTTTTTTGCGAAGCCATTTGCTTTATAAACTCGCCAATCTCTGAGGCCGCACGCCTCTGTGCAGAGCTGGCGTACCAACCCCATTGCACATTTACCTTTAATCGTTCAGACGGGTTTGTTCCCTCTGCACACAGGTACCTGGGGGCCGATTTACTGTGCTCTGAAGGAAGCATGTGCATGAGTCCGTATCACCTCAATTGCCCCCTGGGCTGCAGCCCTCTCACTGGGCCACATTGCTTTGTAACTGTGAAGTGTGTGCAGAATTTATACGCCAACATCCCTTTGCACTATGACCCCTAGCCAACACTAGAGATGGGGTGGCTGTTGGTTGTGCCAGGAGTCTTGGGTCAGAGCTACTAACATTTTAGAGCCAATGGGGCACAAAGCTTTTCTAGCCAATATATTCTAAAAACCATTTGTTAACTCAGCAATACCTGCTATTTTATCATCTATTGACATTATTTCTAATACACAAATACTTTTATCTTAACCTCATCTGTCAATTAACATAGACAGTCATAATTAATGGTGTGACTATTCAAATGTACAAATAAAATAGATTTGTGAACGCTTGCTGTCACCTTAGTTTTTCAGACATGTAGGAAGAACTTAGAAAATGCAACCACAGTATCCAAAACGTGAAGGATGAAATTCACTGTGTCTCAGTGCAGCTCAGCAGGGAAGCCAACTCTCAGAGTGAAAGGCTGGTCACACTGGGACGCCATGTACAGAGGTGGCAAGTTTTAGCCACCTCTCTCAGAACAATGCACGGTCCACTGCTCAGAATCACCTGTCACTGCTGGCTACACCAACACCCAGGCGGGGAAGGTGGCAAAGACCACGCAGGTAGATAATGTATGCCCAATCCACTGGTCACTTTTAGCCCTCAATTTGGGACCATAGACTCTTTCTTTAATCCTTTACTGCAAAAAGCTAGGACATTAGGATATTAACTAAGTGAAACCTCTCGATAAACTGGCTTTAGACACCCTCATCGTCTGAAGAGCTCAAGCTACCCCACATCCACCAGCTTCTAGATTGTGCTCTAGAGTGTGAAAGATCGGAATTCTTAAAAGAATGGTTTCAACACAGCTCCTGGAGCTTATAGTCTGCTTCCTGGGTTTGTCCTGGCTGTGCAATTGGTATTAACTCAGTGAGTGTGGCACGAGACGCTTTTCAAGAGTGAGGATGGAGCTTAGCCAATGATGGGAGATGCCCACGTGGTCAATGAGCAGCCCCTGCATGCATGCCACCTAACAGAGCTGTGTGGAGAAGGATGCTGAGCTGGAGAACAACGGCAACTATGTCTCCTGCTTACACAAAGCCCCAGGAAGTCTGAGAAATGTAATTCTGTGCAGAGCACCTGCATAGGCCAGTGAGGACCTGCATAGGCCAGTGAGCACCTGCATAGGCCAGTCAGTGAGGGCTCTGCTACCGAACCACACGGCCTTGCCCAGAGAACGTCTTTCATCTTATTCCCTTTTTTAGCACCTTTTTTGACATTTTGAATTGATGAAATTCAAGAAATCAGAGAGAGAGAGAGAGAGAGAGAGAGAGAGAGAGAGAGAGGTGGCTCATTGGGCAAGAGCACTTACTCTACAAGCGTAAGGACCTGGGTTCAAGTCTCAAGCACTCATAAAGATCCTGAGCATGGCTCTGTGTGTGTGTTCACAGAACAGCAGGGTGCAGATGTGAGGATCCCCAGAGCTCACTGGCCAGTGATGCTCTGTCTCAAGCAGTAAGGCAGAGAGTGGGAGAGGACACCCATGGTTCTCCCACATCATTTTCATGGGCACATGCAGTCATTCATATACACCGTCCTCTCTCACGCAAGCCTACACACAGACAAGCTCAGAACCTCAGGCATGCTAAGCAGGAACTCTATGACGGAGCTCAGCTCCCAGTGTTTAGTCTGAGAATCTTAATTTGAATGTGGACATTTGGGTCACGTGGAAAGTACTTGGACTCACTGGGTAATGTGTTACAGTGATTTGTAACTCTGGAGCTTATGTAGAGCCAACATCCCTTCCCACTATGACCCCACGCCTAAACAACAGAGATGGGAATGGCTGTTGAGTGCTTAGTTTTTGCTTGCAGCTCTGACTACCTACCACAAGAGGGCAGTAGCAACCTGCAAATCTTAAAGGCACTCTCAAGGGCGCTGGATTCTGTTTGTTACAGGCAAAATTCCATATTTTTAGAAGTCTTTCCTTCCCTCCGCAGGAGCACTGGGAAGACCTTGAGAAGTTATTTCACCCCAGGTGCTGCCTTCAGCCAGAACCGCATTAAATCAGCACAGATGGCTCTCTGTGGGCCCCAAAGCAAACGGTAGTCTATTTGTAAAAGCTAAACTTAATAATTATAATGGCATACAATAGATATGATAAAGGAACACAATGATATATTTATTTTAACTGGAAAAGAGTTCTCCCCGTCTCCACGATAAGTGTTATCTGAGTGTCCAAGAAGCTTTAATGAAGGCAAATTAGGAAGAGATTAGTGACAAGACCAGTCATTGGGGGAAAAGATCGCTGTTGCACAGGAAAAACCACATGGTTGCCTGGCTTAGAGAGTAATTGGGTAGGGTTTTATCTAAAGAAGAAGAAGAAGAAGAAGAAGAAGAAGAAGAAGAAGAAGAAGAAGAAGAAGAACAAGAAGAAGAACAAGAAGAAGAACAAGAAGAAGAACAAGAAGAAGAACAAGAAGAAGAACAAGAAGAAGTAGAACCTGCAGACAGTAGCATGGGCATGAAATCTCTTTCTCCTTGCTCTCCCCTCACCCCCACTGTGTGTAACTCAATGGGACATGTGACCCACATGGATCCCCTACTATGTAAAGGCCAGTGTGTGCCAAGCCTAAACATGTTCCTCTTAAACATGTCCTGAACCCAACTCCAGCTCTAGATGTCTTAGTCTCTCAGTGCCTTGGACCCATCTAGAGCAGGAGTTTCCCCTGACACTCTTTTATTTTTAGGGAAGTGTTTTTTGACACTGATGGCTGCCCTGGCTACCATGGAAGGCTGTTCCACCCTACATCAAATTCCAGATCATATAAATTACGTGTGTGTATGTGCATGCGTGTATGAGTATGTGTGTATGTGCATGCGTGTATGAGTATGTGTGTGTGTGTATGCGTGTGTGTGTGTGTGTGTGTGTGAGCGCATGCATGTAGGGGTTCATGGAGGTCAGAGGAACACCTCAGGCATCCCTCCTGAGGCTCATCTGCCTTCTTCGTTTAGGAAGGCTCTCACCTGGGAGCTCACTAATTAGACCAGACTGACTGGCCGGTGATTTCCATTGTCCAGCCTCTCCAACACCGGGATAGCCAGTGTTTGCGGCCATGCCCAGCTGTTTGTTTTTCACATGTGTTTTGTGGTATGTGTGTGTGGTATATGGACACGTTCATGTAAGTGTGTGCACACTCTGTGTGTGTGTGGGGGGGGGGGCTAGGCGATCATAGAGTGTTTTCCTCAGTCACTACTCTCCTTAATTTTTGAGACAGGGTCTCTCACCAAACATGGTTTTTGCTAGGCTGGCCACACGTCTATACTCTTGCCTCCTTCCCTTTCCCCCATCTTGTATTGGGGTGATAGCTAGGTGTATACTTACATGTGGCTTTCCGTGTGTGTCAGAATCTGAACCCAGGTTCTCAGACTGTGAGACAGACACATTCTGGACCGAGCCATCTCTCTATCCCAAATTCTCTACTTTTAAAATCTAGCCCGAATCC